GGAGAAAAGCACATTGATAATATCAGTCAGCCAACAAGCCATGTGTGAGATGTCTGGGTCTGCCTACTTTTAGTTGTAATCTCCAGTTCCTGGAGGCTGTTTAGATACTAGATACAATGAGTAGATGGATGCTAAAGCCACAGGAAACCCAGAAAAGTTCCTTGATCCTTTTGCCCTGAGATTTATGGTTACATTTTTTGGATATCAGGTTTGGCCATCCTCCATTCAATTATTTTCCTCAAGTCTGGATTCATAAACAAAGTGAATATTTGCTTATTGGAATCATCCTTTAATTTAAGAACTTTACTCTTTAAAAAATATTACTTGAATAAGGAGTAACATAATTGAATAGTAAAAACCAATTAAGCCATTTTTGTTACATCACATCTTTTTTCATGTTATTTTTCTTAAAATAACCAACAGAGGGCGTAGAAGAACCGCTGATGTGATGCTTTTAGTATTTGATTTCGTAGCACGCTTCTCATAAAGAAAATGTCAGTTCTTAGAGTAACAGTTTTGTTCTAGTTTTGCAACTAGAATCTAGCTAAAGGTCCGATATCAAAGCCTTTTCCAATTGCTAGCAGTACTGTGCTACCTTCATTTAAGGAGACTATTTTTCCAAAATGGAAAAACAGAAAAAGCTAGCTGTATATTCTGATTTGCCACACTTGGTAAACAAAACCACAGCCCAATTACATCTTATGTGTTAACGATACAAGTCCCCTAACACAAAGTAAATAAAAATGTACTAGAAATTTTATGTAAGTCAGGTTTCCGAAAACAATGTAATTTTATTTATCCTAATGTAGCTAAACATTTTATAGCTATTTTACATTACAATTTCCTATTTTACTATAATTGAATATTATTGTTGTCAACAGTATAGTTTTGTTTATCATCAGTAGCAGAATTCACTCACCAATTCTAAAGTTGCTTTTAAAACTTTATTTTTCTATATCACAAGGAAATATTACCTCACATCTGTTAGGATGGCTATTATCAAAAAGTCAAAGAATAACAAGTGTTGGCAAGGATGTCAAGAGAAGGGAACCCTTGTATACTGTTGGTAGGAACATAAATTGGTACATCCGTTATGGAAAACAGTATGGAAGTTCCTCAAAAAATTCAAAATAGAACTACCATATGAGATAGAAATCCCACTTATGGGAAAATATCCAAGGGAAATAAAATTACTATGTTGAAAAGATATATGCACTACCATGTTCATTACAGCATTATCAGGAGCCAACATGTAGAAACAACCTAAGTGGCCAATGGCAGAAAAATTGATTAAAAAAATATACAAACAATATAATAGTATTCAATAAGGCAGAATATTATACTAAGTGAAATAAACTAGGCACAAAGAGACAAATACTCTATTATCTCACTTATATGTGAAATCTAAAAAAGTCTAACTTATGGAAGCAGAGTGAAGAAAAGTGCTTATTAGAGCTCAAGGGTGACATTGGGGTGGGGTGTGGAGGGGTGAATGAGATGTCGATCAAATATTACAAACTTCCAGTTATAAGATGAATATGTTCTGGAGACCTAATGTACAGCATGATGAATATGGTTAATGATAGTGTATTGTATACTTGAAAATTGCTAAGAGAGTAGATGGTAGGTATTCATATACACAGGAAAATAAAGGTGTCTACAGGAGGCAATACATAATCTAATTAGCTGGATTGTGGTAATCATGTCAACATGTGCACGTGTATAAAAATCATGTCATATACCTTAAATATGTATAATTTTTCTCAATTATACCTCAAAGAAGTTGGGAAAAAATCAATCTTTCTGTAATTATTAAGAGTTTTTACAGCTTTTCTATAATAATATATAGGATTTTCATTTCTTTTTCTCATACCTTTCAGCATAGATGACATTAGTTTTGATCTTTGATTCTTGAAACTGCCCTTTGTCTTTAGGAATGAATGTATTTATAGCATTAAATCAATTCAAACTATGCTTGATATATTTATCTCAATATCTTTAATCTGCATAAAAATTCTACTCAGGCTGTAAAACATAATAAACATTTTTTAGTTTAAGTTCTACTTGAACCCCAGATAAATTCCATCTGTGCTTATTTTGATAGACAAAGATATCCCTGGGGCGTTTGGAAGACTTTCTCCACACTGAGGAGCTTCTTCCTCAAAATATTGAAACAAACTATATAGGAGGTCAGCACTTCCTCTTTGCATTCATTACTTACTTGACTTCTGGGTTGAAGGTAATTGGTTCTAAAATGCATCATTGTATATTTTTTTCTTCCTTAGATCATGCTATTGAGTTTACAGATGCTTCTTTCTCCTGGGATAAAACAGGAATGCCAGTTCTAAAAGAGTAAGTCGTGGTTTGGAGAATTTTTTTTAATGTTAATATTGGGTTCTAAAATGCTCCGTATTTTTATTTCTTGGAGGTTTTTAATAAGATTAACATACTGAAATCAATAAGACTTTTAACCTCTCACTTCACCTTTAATTTTCATGGTGATCTTGCTGTCCTTTTTTCTATTATTTCTTCTACCTGCAGCATTTTATTGTTCATTTGTTTGCATTTTGGAAGGGTAGGTGTTTGTACAAAAAAGGTGAAAAGCGACGATTTCAGGGATGATGCTAAGTGCTGCACACAGTGACTTATCTAGGAATAGATTTTTAAAACAACCGTAAAAAGAATCTCCTATATTGTCTCCCTTCCTTCTCATGCAGCTTGAACATAAAGATCCCAGAAGGAGCTTTAGTGGCTGTTGTAGGGCAAGTTGGGTCTGGAAAATCATCCATGCTTTCTGCCATTCTGGGGGAAATGGAGAAACTTACCGGAGTAGTCCAAAGAAAGGTAAAATAAAAAATACATTCTTTCAACATCTTCTAATGTAACAAGCTATAGCCAACTTGTCATTAGTGTCAATAAGAATTTATCAAGCTGAATTGAAGATGCAAGCCTTTAATGGGCATTTCCAGTTTATAACAAACATTTCAATTTCCATAGAAATTGATTAACTATGGGTGGATTAATAACAGAATTCTGTTCTCCAAATACTTCAGCAAATCATTTGTAAATGCTTATGGTAATTGTTTGATGATATTAACTGAATTGCAACCAATTATAGAGAAATGAATGTGATTTATATTGTAATTTGATTAGGTTTCTATTTATTATTCAGCAAGGTTCCCTAAGTAATTACAGCCATTTCATTTCTAAGAAGTCTTGTAGCCACTCTCGGGTAGGATCTTTGACCAAAAAGAAACTTCAGAAAAATAAAGTTATTAATAACCTACATTTAAGATTCAGCATTAGGACCATGAAGAGATCTACTCTTGACTAATTGTTCTATTCTTAAAGGTCAATAAGAATAAGAATTGAACAAGTTCTTAATCAGCTCTCTCTTTTTGAAACAGTAGACTACCCAATGAACTTTTCCTTAGATGTAATCAACTCTTAGGTAAAACACTTAAGTAGCCCAATCTTTCCTTCTTACCTGTGACAAGATGAACAAGCTCTATGTATCTGAGATCAGCATCTCTTCACTGTATCATTTTTTCTTTCCTCTCTGGGAAAAATCAACTCTAACTCCTTCTATTTTTCCTCACATATTTCTTTCTACCTTTATATCTTTCCTGATTCCAGTCCTTTGGTGACTAATTTTTGTTATTCTTTTTTATCTCGGCATGACTGTTACCTAGTCTAGGGCCAAATATGATTCCTGTGACTTTTTCTGATAAGATTGCACTTAATGAGCACCACTGGTTTTAAACCTTAAGTATACTATCTTTGTAGCACTATGCTGTTTGTAGCAATTGCAATTAGCCATTTCTCTGCAGTTCAGGATAGCTGTACCTTTTACTTGGGTGTACATTACAAACATAATAAGTGTCATATTAATTTCATTTTTATTTAGTTTTTTTCAGCTATTTCACTAAGCAATTACTGAGCCTATGCTATCTGCCAGAGAAGTAAACGTGAATAAGATATGCCCCTCTTCTTTCAAAGGTCATAGTGTAGTGAGGGAAATACCATAATCAATGATAAAAAGGTCTAAATCAGATATGAAAAATGAATTGAGGCATAAAAAACAACAAATTCTGCTTCAAAGCTGTCTCTTATACACATCTGGTAATTGGTTCTAAAATGCATCATTGTATATTTTTTTCTTCCTTAGATCATGCTATTGAGTTTACAGATGCTTCTTTCTCCTGGGATAAAACAGGAATGCCAGTTCTAAAAGAGTAAGTCGTGGTTTGGAGAATTTTTTTTAATGTTAATATTGGGTTCTAAAATGCTCCGTATTTTTATTTCTTGGAGGTTTTTAATAAGATTAATATACTGAAATTAATAAGACTTTTAACCTCTCACTTCACCTTTAATTTTCATGGTGATCTTGCTGTCCTTTTTTCTATTATTTCTTCTACCTGCAGCATTTTATTGTTCATTTGTTTGCATTTTGGAAGGGTAGGTGTTTGTACAAAAAAGGTGAAAAGCGACGATTTCAGGGATGATGCTAAGTGCTGCACACAGTGACTTATCTAGGAATAGATTTTTAAAACAACCGTAAAAAGAATCTCCTATATTGTCTCCCTTCCTTCTCATGCAGCTTGAACATAAAGATCCCAGAAGGAGCTTTAGTGGCTGTTGTAGGGCAAGTTGGGTCTGGAAAATCATCCATGCTTTCTGCCATTCTGGGGGAAATGGAGAAACTTACCGGAGTAGTCCAAAGAAAGGTAAAATAAAAAATACATTCTTTCAACATCTTCTAATGTAACAAGCTATAGCCAACTTGTCATTAGTGTCAATAAGAATTTATCAAGCTGAATTGAAGATGCAAGCCTTTAATGGGCATTTCCAGTTTATAACAAACATTTCAATTTCCATAGAAATTGATTAACTATGGGTGGATTAATAACAGAATTCTGTTCTCCAAATACTTCAGCAAATCATTTGTAAATGCTTATGGTAATTGTTTGATGATATTAACTGAATTGCAACCAATTATAGAGAAATGAATGTGATTTATATTGTAATTTGATTAGGTTTCTATTTATTATTCAGCAAGGTTCCCTAAGTAATTACAGCCATTTCATTTCTAAGAAGTCTTGTAGCCACTCTCGGGTAGGATCTTTGACCAAAAAGAAACTTCAGAAAAATAAAGTTATTAATAACCTACATTTAAGATTCAGCATTAGGACCATGAAGAGATCTACTCTTGACTAATTGTTCTATTCTTAAAGGTCAATAAGAATAAGAATTGAACAAGTTCTTAATCAGCTCTCTCTTTTTGAAACAGTAGACTACCCAATGAACTTTTCCTTAGATGTAATCAACTCTTAGGTAAAACACTTAAGTAGCCCAATCTTTCCTTCTTACCTGTGACAAGATGAACAAGCTCTATGTATCTGAGATCAGCATCTCTTCACTGTATTATTTTTTCTTTCCTCTCTGGGAAAAATCAACTCTAACTCCTTCTATTTTTCCTCACATATTTCTTTCTACTTTTATATCTTTCCTGATTCCAGCCCTTTGGTGACTAATTTTTGTTATTCTTTTTTATCTCGGCATGACTGTTACCTAGTCTAGGGCCAAATACGATTCCTGTGACTTTTTCTGATAAGATTGCACTTAATGAGCACCACTGTTTTTAAACCTTAAGTATACTATCTTTGTAGCACTATGCTGTTTGTAGCAATTGCAATTAGCCATTTCTCTGCAGTTCAGGATAGCTGTACCTTTTACTTGGGTGTACATTACAAACATAATAAGTGTCATATTAATTTCATTTTTATTTAGTTTTTTCCAGCTATTTCACGAAGCAATTACTGAGCCTATGCTATCTGCCAGAGAAGTAAACGTGAATAAGATATGCCCCTCTTCTTTCAAAGGTCATAGTGTAGTGAGGGAAATACCATAATCAATGATAAAAAGGTCTAAATCAGATATGAAAAATGAATTGAGGCATAAAAAACAACAAATTCTGCTTCAAAGAGTTCGAAAAAGAATCCAAAAGGAGGTTGCCCTTTATTTGATATTGAAAAATAATTAGAAATTGATAAAGATAAAAATAATGTCAATTCTAGATTTCACTTAATTCATTAATAATAGTAATAAGCTGAAAAGGCTGGGGTGAGAATTGCATAGGATAATGTGCACAGACCTAGCCTAGCTCCTCTCTATGAATATGTATGATGATCATCGTCTTTATTACGACTGTTGAGGCTCTCAAAATAAGATTTAAGGATTATTTCTGATATCTTTGAATGTTTTTAATTAAGAAGGTGTTCATAGCGATGAAACAAACTGTAATAATGCCATTATTAGTGGTAAAACAGAGAGGATATTCTTTGTTTATTTTAAATTACTGATGCCCAAGAAAAAGTATATTATCTGTTTTTATAACTGGTCATTGGCCTTCAGGAAGCTTTTGGCCTGGATCAATGGCAGGATATGAAGTATCACATTCTGAATTATTTCCCCAAATACTTTTTATTCAGAATTTATATCATCCTGATTATCTCTATTGAAGTAAAATTAACATTATAGCGGCATTTTCAAAGTGCTTTTGTGTGCACTTTCTATTTTTCGGTTTTTCAGATGATTACTTTTTTGAGGCATATTTTAATCCACAATATTCAAACTCTAAAACTGCCTATTGTCGCTAAACTTTCTCTGTAGACTCCCTACTCTTTTCAGTATCAAAAGCTCACACCAGGCACCGTTCATGAAAAGGATTCAATGTTCAGTGTTCTGTGGCAGAAACATCAGAGATTTGGAGACCATTTTTGAATTCACAAAACTTCTATTATAGTTTCATTATTAAGAATGAAACAAAATGTTTTCATTTGTATGTGAAAGGAAAAATAAAAGCAAACATTTACATCTCTATGAAAATTGTAGTTTCTGTTTTCTCATGTTCTTCAGTCTCTTCTCCTTTGTTTTTCATCCTCCGCACTGCTCAACTTGCTTAATACATAGCAAGTATTCAAAATATCGACCACTCACATGCTGATTTAATATGCAATTCAAAGCAAAGTTTAGATTATTCACTTCACAAGGCAATTTGAGAACAATTCCTTTTGTGTTCAAGATCAGGTCAGATCAGAACTATATTGTTTTTGATCAAAAGCCATTCTGTGTCTTACATACTCAACAAAGAAGAATTACAAGTTAATCTTTGATCTTTAAAGTAGTAGGTAGAAATCAAAAGGCTAATAATGGTTGCACATGTGTGTATATCAGAAAGTACTTTAAGTGGCTGGTATTGTTATAGAGTATGGAGTACTTAAAATACTGAATCAGTGTTTGAATTGAGTCCATGGGGTAGATTGAAAGGTAGGCCACTAGTGCAAATACTATGGGTTCTTTTTCTAGAAAAGAAGGGTTAGTTGAGAAGATATTTTATGCAGCAGACTGTCATATATTTAAAAATCATTTCAAGGTATAAAATCATGAAACATAAATTTGGGAGCAGTGGTTAATGTATAATACACGGAGATTTGCCACCCAGATCCTCCTACTAGTTAGGACTTCTACAAGTCCCAGCTGTGGGAGTATGAACAGGAAGTCATCTCCTTCAAGGTTGGCCTGGACTTCAGATAGTGGCCTGTCCCAGGGTCTCACTTTTGCTCAGCCTGACTTGGGACAGCTCTGATGACCAATTCTCTTCCATGGCTCTCCGGAAGATTGGCCAAAGTTTTCTTGGTTCTGCATCACATCCGCATCTGTGGCTTCTCGCTCTGCCTAATCTTCCCTCCTCCTTTCCTTCTACAGGGGTTGATCCCAAACAAACAACTTGGACCCCAAAATCTGATTCAGTGTTACAGACTGAATTGTGATCCCCCAAAATTCATATGTTGAAGTTCTAATTCCCAGTACCTCAGAATGTGACTGTATTTGGACACAGGGTCTTTAAAGAGCTAGTTAAGTTAAAACAAGTTCATTAAGGTGGGTCCTAATTCAGTATCACTGGTGTCCTTATAAGAGGAATTAGGACACACACACACACACACACACACACACACACACACACACGGAGAGAGAGAGACCATGTGAAACATGAGAAAATTACAATCATCAACAAGCTGAAGAGAGTGGCCTCAGTAGAAATCAACCTTGCTAACACCTGATTTCAAACATCTAGCCTCCAGAATTGTGAGAATAAATTTCCATTGTTTAAGCCACCCAGTCCATGGTATGTTGTTATTGCAACTCTAACAAACTAACACACTCAGCATCTGCTTCCAGAGAATACCACTTTAGACAGATAATTGAGAGAGAAGCTACAGTGAAAGTAAATAAGAAGCACAAAGTAACTCATTTGGAGGAAATTCCAATAAAACATATAAAATATGGTGCCATGATCTATGTAATTATATGTATCCATATTAAATTTTTTATTTCTGTTTTAAAACTAAAGAAGGCAAAACTATGCACTAAATATGTTCCTTTACTGTGATGCATGCAACTTCTCCTTTTCTCTAGTTAAGAATTTTTTTTAACCTCTTTCTTTTTTAGGGTTCTGTGGCTTATGTTTCTCAGCAGGCCTGGATTCAGAATTGCATTTTGCAAGAAAACATTCTCTTTGGCTCCTTCATGAAGAAAGAGTTTTATGAGCAAGTATTGGAAGCCTGTGCTCTCCTTCCAGATTTGGAGCAGTTGCCAAAGGGAGATCAAACTGAGATTGGAGAAAGAGTAAGGGAACTGTAATTTATCACATAAAGAAATATAATCCCATTCAGCTTGCTAATAAAATGTTAATGCCTTTTTCTTGAAGTCTCGAAGAGCTATACAACTATAATTTTTTAAAATTATTATGTAATTCCTATATAAGAGATGGCGATATTAAGGACAAGTAATTATCTACAATTGACTGTTTGGAAAAGATTAAAAATCAGTCGGAGATTCTGTTGTTAGTATCCACTTAGGGGAATAAAAGCCCATTCATTAGACCATCAAACTTTTGTTTTGGTGGCTGGCACAATGCAGTTCACTTTCTAAAGAGTGACTAATAGTTTTGTTTGTTCCTATATCTCTGGTGTGCAAAGTCAAGGCTAGAACAGGAGCAAGAGAGCACCAGTCTCCGGCAGTGGCACCCGAGTCCAGGTTCTAAGGAAGCTCTGAAAACAATACTGTTATGAATGTGACTTCTCCACGTTTGCTCATTCCTGCTTAAGTGGAACTTGTTCCCCTGTCATCTCTCTTTGTTCTATTTCATTTTCATTGTGTTAGTAAATAGTCATTACTCTGCTCAGTGTTTTGGATTTAAAAATACAAATATATATATATCATGAGCTGAAGTATGAACCCCGAGAGATTATCTCCAACCCCTGACTAAAATCTACATTAATTAAACATGAATGCAAAAGTAGCCTCTGCCTGCAATTCATGTGTGCTCTAAAGATGAATAAATAATCCTTACTGAGTGCTTTGAATCTCTGAAAAGAGTGAGCATAACATTGTTAGACATTTTTACACCTGCCCTCATGTTATCTAATAAGCCCATTATAGAAATTAATACAAGAAATACATAACAAAATTGTAGAATGTAGACATATGTAAAATCCAGGATGAGCCAGAATTTACCTTGTAACTAGAATTACTTCATTTATAATCTATAACTTTACAGATGTATTTTCTCAATAGTTTTAAATAGGTTTATTTTTTCCAACCCTTGGATTTCTTCTTGCATCTTCACCATCTCTAAGCAAAATGATCCATAGCTAAAAGGCAGACATGTGAATTCTTCTTCAAACTTGTTAACACATGTTGAACAAGATGCTGATAAACCCAATCTCTAAAAGTATGAAATATCTGATATTTTGTAACTGTAAAAAATCTTAAACAGGGAGACAAATCCAAACTAACAAGTATAGACTTAATATAGGCATTAAATGCTATTGCCATTTATAATGTCTTATTTTTATGATTAAATTTATCCCAATCTGCATTTGAACTTTACACATGCAACTGAATATTTCAAAAGGAAATCTGTTTATAGGTGCTTAAGAGACAAAAAAGACAATGACTGTAGACTTTTCGCCTACTTGTATTCATCTTTTCTTTTGGCATTCTTCATTTGACCACATTTATTAATTTTTATATGCCCTTATTCTGCTATGGGGTACACAGTGGTGAGTGAGAGATCTACCACTCTGCCTTCAAGGGATTTGCAGTCTGGTGCACCTCTGCCAATAATATTCATCAGTTGTCTTTATCAATATTTATTAATCACCTAGTGTTAGACACCGGGTGTCGAGAACACAAGGATTAACTAGGTAGGGGCTCATAGGCTAGTGAGAGAGACTGAGATAAATATTGCCAATTCTAGCAATGGGATGCATACACAAAGTGCAGCAAGACAGGAAGGGAGGGAATGAATCTCTGCACTTGGGACACCTAATGGAAGTTGCCTTCAGAGGACATTTCAGTGTGAGTAGCCCTTAAGTTAAAACAGAAGGATGTGGTCTCCCAAGCAGAGTGAATAGCCTCTTCCCGGTAGGAAAGACCAGGTTAGTCTGCTTGGCAAACCACAGTCACCTGAAGGCAACATTGGGAGAGTGGTGAAGAGATGAGTTAACGCCAGAATATAAGCATCTTAGATTTATACGAAAGAATTTGTTGTTTTTGCTGTTGCTCATGAGTGATGAAAAGAGGGAGCTGTGGATATCCAAGGTTTTTGTGCAAGATGATGACATAGTTACAGAAAAAGTGATGACAAGGTAGAGGGATGAATTGGAAAGAAGAGTAACTGCGTGATAATAGCTAATGTTGATTGTATCCATACTCGGTGTTGAATTTTTCCTAAAATTTTTACTCTAAACTTATTGAATGCTCCCAACAAACATACAATTTAGGTGCTATTATAAGCATATGCACACACACATATTACATTCCTTTATGTGCGTGTATATGAGTGTGTGGGAGGAGGGTGTATAACGCCTATCCCCCTTGCTAAAATGTGACCTCCTCGTGAGACTCTGTTTCACTCATCTTTGAATCCCAAGCACTAGCGTAGTACTCAAAATATAGTCATACCCAGAAGATGTTTGCTGAGTAGGAGAAGGATGAAGAATGCAAAGAGGCAATGGCATTTTATAATTACAGGTCATTGGCTAAGTTATGTGCTGCACTGAGAGCTTTTAAACCAGATCTGTAAACCCTAAATATAAAATAAATAAAGTAAATTGGGCCTGGTTCCATAATTCTTCATACGTGGTTGTACATGTCAACTTTAATTCTCACATGGACATGATGAACATTCCCTATTCTTGCTTCTTGGAGTTGTACTTTTGCCAACAAGACTTGTGCTAATCTTTCTACAGGAGAAAATAGGACATGTTGATTACTTCTTTGGTAATTTAGTTATTATTTTCAATTTCCTATGTGTCATTTTAAAAATAATCACTGATGTCAGTAGATGGTTGGCAGCCAAAAGTCTTGTTTAATATCCCACAGGCACGACTTTTCAGAGTGAGAGATTCGGAAATTCTTTTCTCCTTAATTGTTAGCATCCTCTTTCGAGAGTAAGCAGTTAAGAGAAAGTGGATATATCTGCTAATTTGTGCAAGTTAGTAATGCTAGGAAATGGGCTGGGGCTAGGCCTAGAAAGTCGTGGATAAAGAAAGGTTGGAGCGTTCATCTTGGGTTGCTACCTATCTATGCTATAAAAGAGCATTTGGATGTAACTGCACATGCTTTGAGATGTATACGCATTTCCTCTCGTCTTGTTTTTCTCCTGCTCCATTTTCAGGGTGTGAATATAAGTGGGGGCCAGCAACATCGAGTAAGCCTGGCTAGAGCTGTCTACAGTGGAGCCGACATCTACCTCCTGGATGACCCCTTGTCTGCTGTTGATGTTCACGTTGGAAAGCAGCTTTTTGAAAAAGTGATAGGGTCCTTGGGCCTTTTGAAAAACAAGGTAGACATAGTTTCATTTATGCTTTCTTGTGGGACAGGGGATCTGCCTAGCACTGTGCCTAAAATTCCATTTATTTTGTTTATTTGTTTCAGCAAAGTAGTCACATTTCACATGAAAAAATGGGATGCTTAGATTGCGATTTCACAGACAAATTTCAATGTGTAAATGTTAAAGTTTCACCTACAAGTTTACTCTGGTGACAATTTATGTGATTGTTATCTCTTTGTCTAATACCATATCCTAAGGGGATTTATGTGCCATAATGAATTGTTATTGACTCAAGTGATTTTTAAAATGGTATTTTGGTGCACTGCTGTTATTAAAAATAGAATTATTTGCCAGGCATGGTGGCTCATGCCTGTAATCCCAGCACTTTGGGAGGCTGAGGCGGGTGGATCACGAGGTCAGGAGTTCAAGACCAGCCTGGCTAAGATGGTGAAGCCCCGTCTCTACTAAAAATAGAAAAATTAGCTGGGCGTGATGGTGGGTGCCTGTAATGCCAGCTACTTGGGAGGCTGAGGCAGAGAATTGCTTGAACCTGGGAGGCGGAGGTTGCAGTGAGCTGAGATCACGCTACTGCACTCCAGCCTGGGCGAGAGAGCGAGACTCCGTCTCAAAAAAAAAAAAAAAAAAGAATTATTTTATTGCTTATGTAAAGTGTAAAATTTGGTATTATGAACATAGCAATCATAGCGATTCAATTGTTTTTTAAAGGGCCAAGAAGATGAAAATTAGTATTTACCAGTACATGCCATATTTTGCAGTGTAAATTAGTTCATTTATCCCTATTTCACATATAAAGGAACTTCAGGGCTCACAATGACTTGATATAGGTTGCTCAATTTAAGAACAATAGAGATTTTTTAAAGTATGTTTGACTCCAAAATCGCATTCATTTCTTTATAATACGTGTTTATGGAATTATTAATATAGAGAACTCTGAAAAATATATGTATAAAATTATAAAATATATGTCTCAGTAAAAATAAACATCTTTATATATTGACATAAACCCAAGATTAAAAATGTCACACTTAATTGTACGTATATGTATAAAATAATATGAATGACTTAAAAATAAAGACTATGAATTACGACTTGGATTAAACACTTTTTTGTAATGGTACTGTATATTTAAAAATAAGCAAGAATGACATATATGAAATTGTTTTGAATTTGCAATTAAATTGATTCATTTCTAATGAATGAAAAAATACCTGAACAGAAGTGTTAAAAATCACATTTACAAACTATTTTCTCACCTAGCAGCATGTCATTATTCCTTGTAAGATATATGGATGCTGCCTTAAACTGGCACCTACCAAAAATCATACTCTAAAATAGTAAAGGAAAAAAAGTTACTGCAGCTTTTTTGAAAATGCGATTTTTTGTAACCTCTGAGATAAAACACTGTCGTGGATAAAGAAAGGTTGGAGCGTTCATCTTGGGTTGCTACCTATCTATGCTATAAAAGAGCATTTGGATGTAACTGCACATGCTTTGAGAT